GGGAAGTAACTGGCAATGGTCGCCAGGTTTGCACTGTTGATGGAATGACTTGTCGACTTGGTCACCTGTAACAACAAGAAGCGATCGCCTTGCTTTGCGACGGCATCAATGGTCTTCAACGACCGACCTGCAGGGTACCAATACTCCAACCCAGTTGTCCACTCGCGCATGATTGCCTCATACTGTTCTTGTGTATGCCCACGGTACGAACACGATTGTGTGGTGATCGTCGTCGTAGCATACGAGTAGTCGAGCTTGGCGTTCTTGGGTTGATGGAGCAACTGCCTCTCGTAGTCGCGTACCCAGAGTTTGATTTCACCGTTGTTTTGGGCCGTGGCATGGACGTAGTTCTCGAACGCAATCCCAAACAACCCAAAGTCGTTCAGTGCGTGGGCTTTGAAGCAAAGATCTTTGAAATAACCCAAGGGCACGATTTCACCAATCTTCCCCAGGGCGTACATCGACGTGATAGCGTAGGACCACATGTCGGGGTTGCTGTAGTTGGCCACCTTGGACGAGTCGAGGGTGGCCATTCGAATGCTGTCGACTTGACCAGCCGAGCGGGGGCCGTGCTGGGTCTTCAACAGGTCAGCCGTGCTGACATCCACAGTGCCGACAGCCAACAAGATGGCGATTCTGGCATCTTCGATGGACATGAGAAACAGTCGGAGGCAACTCCCGCCGATGTAGTACTTTTGCTCCACACAGTCGTCGTCCCATCCGTTGATTCTGCGTCCGACAGCTTTCAAATCTTCAAGCGACCAATACGGCACAAGACACAGGTCCACGACGCCTGCTTGACTTTGCGATTTCTTGTACTGGCCTGAAGTTGCCAGCACCGAAAACGACTGCAGTCGGACTTTCTTCAACAGACCGTCCACTTGATTGATCCCGTCCAGACACAACGCGCACTTCGTCGTTGTCGCTGCCTCCAGCGCCTCCACATTGTCTTCGCTCAAGTTTTGCTCTCGCCAACACTTGGACAGATCTGACCCGTTCAAGAAGAGCACGGTCAGACCCTTCCCTTCGACGCGACGGACCAGCAGGACGTCGCTTTGCGCTTGGGTTGCCATCCACACAGCATAGAGCACCACCAGCAAGCTCTTGCCAATGCCCGGAGAGCCAAAGAGCACGACTTGTTTGTCGCCACGACGCTTGAGCAAGCTGAAGAGATCTTTGTACTCCTTGCGAACGTACAGTTGGTCGGGAAAGTCGGTGACTTGGGTAAGACGCGTTTATCTTTTTCCCTTTAAAAAGATTTTCCCTGTAAAAAGCCTATCTTTTTCCCTTACATCTGTCCTTTTCCCTTTTCAACATTACTGGTTAACTTTTTAAAGGGAAAAAAATAGTTAAAGGGAAAAAGATAGCTGAAAAGGGAAAAGGACAGGTGTAAGGGTATGGGGTACGAAAACAACTTTGTGCCGTTTCATTTGGGTTACTTTTACGGAAATCTGCGCATGATGTTCGCGCGCAATCCATTTTTGAATTCAACTGCCCCTTCCGAGCATGGTTCTGAAGTTGTCCTGCATGGTTGCTGGTGAATCTGGACCGTTTGAGGTTGAGATCCGTCGCGGCGACACGATCATGGACCTCAAGGTGGCGATGACGAAGCAAATGCCCAACACCATTCACTGTCACACCGATCGCATTCAGCTTTATCAGGGGTACCACGACGCGCAGTGGATGACCACGGACAACTACATGTCATTGCTCCAACGCTGTTCCAATGACACTCTGGCGTCGGTCATGGAGGGTCTCCATTCGATGGAACCCCTGGATCGAGTTTACGACGTTCTTCGAGGCGTGCAGCCACCACCTTCGTACCTGCATATTCTGGTGGTGCTCCCAACATCGGAGATACGGGTACAGCAACATCTGCGCGATGATGCGGGTTCACAACGCGTGGAGTTTTCGCTGCTCAACGTTCAAGTGGGCGATCTCAACGCGTTCGACGACAACACTTGGATCAACACCTGGCGCCTTACCCAAGTCACCGACTTTCCCGACCAACTGTACGTTCGCAAGGAGTACAAAGATCTCTTCAGCTTGCTCAAGCGTCGTGGCGACAAACAAGTCGTGCTCTTTGGCTCTCCGGGCCTTGGCAAGAGCTTGCTGGTGGTGCTCTATGCTGTGTGGATGGCAACCCAAGCGCAAAGCGACGTCCTGCTGGTCCGTCGCGTCGAAGGGAAGGGTCTGACCGTGCTCTTCTTGAACGGGTCAGATCTGTCCAAGTGTTGGCGAGAGCAAAACTTGAGCGAAGACAATGTGGAGGCGCTGGAGGCGGCGACAACGACGAAGTGCGCGTTGTGTCTGGACGGGATCAATCAAGTGGACGGTCTGTTGAAGAAAGTCCGACTGCAGTCGTTTTCGGTTCTGGCAACTTCAGGCCAGTACAAGAAATCGCAAAGTCAAGCAGGCGTCGTGGACCTGTGTCTTGTGCCGTATTGGTCGCTTGAAGATTTGAAAGCTGTCGGACGCAGAATCAACGGATGGGACGACGACTGTGTGGAGCAAAAGTACTACATCGGCGGGGGTTGCCTCCGACTGTTTCTCATGTCCATCGAAGATGCCAGAATCGCCATCTTGTTGGCTGTCGGCACTGTGGATGTCAGCACGGCTGACCTGTTGAAGACCCAGCACGGCCCCCGCTCGGCTGGTCAAGTCGACAGCATTCGAATGGCCACCCTCGACTCGTCCAAGGTGGCCAACTACAGCAACCCCGACATGTGGTCCTACGCTATCACGTCGATGTACGCCCTGGGGAAGATTGGTGAAATCGTGCCCTTGGGTTATTTCAAAGATCTTTGCTTTAAAGCCCACGCACTGAACGACTTTGGGTTGTTTGGGATTGCGTTCGAGAACTACGTCCATGCCACGGCCCAAAACAACGGTGAAATCAAACTCTGGGTACGCGACTACGAGAGGCAGTTGCTCCATCAACCCAAGAACGCCAAGCTCGACTACTCGTATGCTACGACGACGATCACCACACAATCGTGTTCGTACCGTGGGCATACACAAGAACAGTATGAGGCAATCATGCGCGAGTGGACAACTGGGTTGGAGTATTGGTACCCTGCAGGTCGGTCGTTGAAGACCATTGATGCCGTCGCAAAGCAAGGCGATCGCTTCTTGTTGTTACAGGTGACCAAGTCGACAAGTCATTCCATCAACAGTGCAAACCTGGCGACCATTGCCAGTTACTTCCCGGCGTCTTCAACGTCGTTCATGGTGGTGGTGCCCAACAAAGCGACCGCCGACGCGTTTCGACTTAGCCCGTCAAATCCGTCCAACCCAATGCACTTGCAAGTGGCTTACGTCGTCGACGACTTTTTCGACCAGTTTGCCTCTTGCGACTTCGAAGGCAAAATCCAACCCAGTGCCTAGGTCCCACCTCGATTGCGTAATTCATGCATGATTCATATTTCGTCAATCTATCTTGTGTTTTCTATATTAGT